CCGAGCCCTGATTGGCTGATCGCGACCCCCTATCCGAGCGTCGTCTGCTCGCAACTTCGTCTGCGTCTGTCTTACCTTTCCTGCGACTTTCGGAAGTCGAGCGAGCTCGACTTCGCCTTTCAGACAGGGCAGACGAAATTACTCGAGCGGTACGTTGTTTTTGTCTGACAACTAGCAGACGCGCATCAAGGAGGGAAGTCAAAGGACTCACTGGCGAGGTGTCCCGAGGCGCCGAGGTTTGTTTGCTAAGAACCGAGAGGTAAGGGTAATTAGTGTCCGCAAGTTCCCTCCCAAATACTTTTTCCCTCCGTTCGTGTGCGGCGAGACTCTTCACTCTTTAACGGCGTCGGCGGGTTGGCGCAGTTAACGTCGTCTGCTTTACGTCTGCTAGTCAAAGCGATGACTGCTTTACCTTTCCTGCGTCTGTCGAAGATTCACCGCTTTTTTACCGGCGAGAGTCACCGCTGCCTCGGAAAACAAGAAGATGACAAGAGGAAGAGATTGACCTCTTAATCTAAAATCGAGGTCAGCGATCAAAGTATAAGACGGGAAGGGTTCACAAAGGTCGCGCGGGCATATTCCATTCAGCACGCCAGCCGGTCGTGGGCAGACGGTCGCCGAGTCGGAGTGCCTGCTAGGCCTATCTGCCGTGTTCGCTTGGTCGTTGGCGGTAGAATCGTGGCCGTTAGAGCTTTTTACGGGTGTTTGTGGATCCAGCGTTCTTGTTCGTCGTGGTCTGTTTCAAGTACCTTTTACTTTTTTCTTGCTGCTTGAAGTCGGGACGCGTGAGAAGCGCACGTAGAAAAATAAACGTCCGTTGGTCGTCGCGACCGCGACGCTGTCGGCCATGCTGATTTGATCGTAAGAAGTGCGTAAGACAGCTTCGGAGCTGTCGTAGGATTTCGTCGTAACCTGCGCAAAACTTACGAAAATTTCGTTTCGTGAATACAAATTTGTTCTCAAGTTTTGTCTTACGCACATTTCTGGCGTAAGCTCGTTCCGTGAATCTGGCCTCTGCGCGTTCGAAAGTCGCAGGAAACGTAAGACAGGCGCAGACGACGTTGCGAGCAGACGACGTTGCAAAGGAGCAGACGACGCTCAGATAGGGGGTCGCGATCAGCCAATCAGGGCTCGGCGTTCTGACGTCACCGCTACCCCCTGCGCAAGAAGCAGACGAACTTGCCCTCCGCATAGCTTTTAGCCCTGTACCGCGGTAGTTTCCGTTTCGGTTTATTGACATCTGATTGGATTGGATTTCGTAGCTGCAAGCCAGAGTGCAGAAAAACAACCAACGACGGACAAACAATGTTTTTCTTAACAAGAAATAAACTTACCATGGTAATTTTTTATGCTTTTAAATGCTTTAAAACTATTTTAAGTAATAATAGTACTAATATAAACTAAGGCAGATTATTTCTTCAATCCAATCCAATCCTTATGTACCCGCGCCGCTGGCCAGCTAGCCACTGCCAGCCAGTTCTCTGAACCAAAGCCGCATTGACGTTAGGGCTATCTCGATCGTTGTGTATCGGTGTCGATATGTACTAAGCGTACGTGATTTATGTTGATGGCGCGAAGGCAATAGTCAGCGTGAACCGCATCAAGAAGTTCAAACCGGCGAGCGTTGGCGACTTCGGCCCCGACGTGCCGAAAAGCGTCTACTGGGAGGCTGTTGGAGCGTGCGCCGGGGAATGGTAAGTTGTTTTCTACGCATCAGGGGCTCGAAGCACAACGTTTACTGCAGACCGTTAATAGGGAGTTTTCGTAGATCGTTTTCGCCGTCCCGCAACGCCCTCCGCAACTTGCTATATACCTAGAACTCTACAGTCAAGGCTATCGGCGTGCAGGCGCAGTAGTAACTTCTTCGCTGCGGAAAGATTAGCGGAGGGGGAAACGCGGTCAACGAGAACTCCCTATGTTCACGAGCCTCTACTTTTTGGCAAATTCTACTCGTCCAAAAATTAGCGAAATTTAAGGACACATGGAAAGCGGAAATTCGGTGGGCCCCCCGTTCCGGCGTGCCCCGTTCCGGCGTCTAGAATTCCAAAATGTGATGGGCACGAATATGTCCTTACGCCGGATTTGTAAAGAACTGGGCGGCAAAAGCAAAGGGTTTTACATTGTTGAACTACAGGGCGCTCCAGATGGCAGCCACGACATTTAAAATAAATCACAACAAATCGGCTCTGTAAGCTACGACAACTTTACCACATAAGTTCGACTAGGTGGTGCATTTACTTCGTAAAAATATAGAAGAAAAGACTTGTTGAAACCAGGGTTATAGGGCAGGCTAGCTGGTGAACGGTCATATTTATAAACTTCGATATAAGAGGGGGGGGGGGGGGGACAAACACGACTTTGAAATGTAGCTCAATGTGCATGTTTTGTCTTACAGAGACATGAGGTGAGCTGGTTGCTGCTTTGAAAAAGAAGCACGTGGCCATCCCTATGATATTGGACTCCAGGTTCGAGGTATATGTGCGCCTTTAAACTGTTTCTCTTACCTCATTCTTAGACTCTATTCAGAACCAGCGGCCTTAAATTCGTCTTTTATGTCCCTTTTTCAAATCGGCACCATACTTCACTTCTGTTACCAGTGGGCAGTAATTGTGGGCAAAAACTTGCACGGTTAGGCTAAGGAATATCTTGCATTTTGTTCGCCTCATGAGTGTTTCCATTCATTATGGCTGGTCAGGACTATTTGTATAGACATTTTTCTTTAAATTGCTTGCTATTCTGTTACACAGATTCGGTGGGTAGATACGCTCTATGAAATTGGACCACAAGCCGCACTTTAACACACAAAGAGCCGCAGCTTGGCCACTCCTGGTCTCGATTGTGCTGTAGCCGAAGTTGTCCGTCTTCAATTTTAAGAGATACTCTCCTGCTTGTTTTTCCACCGCATTATATCTGAATTTGACCCTCTTCAGTCTTACGAGGCGTCCTCACCTGCTCAAAGTCTCAATCTCGCTGTACTCGAAGGTGCATCTCTTCTCTACTATCGCAATACGTCCTCGTTTGTTTGGCGTCCTGCTTGCGTTGCAGCCGAAGTTTCCTCTTTTGAATCTTTTCATCCGCTTCGATGGTTCTCTTGTTGCTACTTTCCTCTCTAGCTTTCAACAAACATTTTTCATGTTCTGAAGTGCCCTAGGCACTTTGCTGCCGCTGTGCCTCAGCACGCTTGCGTGTATGTTCCTCTGGTGAGACCTGCTTTCGCATACCGACAACGATAGATGATGCTCAAGTCTGGTTCACAGAGCTCTCCTCAGATGTGGCTATGCGCGACTGCGACCAGATGTGACACTCATTGCTATGGCAACAACGGCGTTGAGTCACTGGCACGTGCATCAACGCAGCTCTTGCCAGCACCCAGTAACTCTTTCGCAAATGCTTGCCCATGTGTGCTCGTAGTGAAGCGGATACGATGTGCCCGGCTTAGGCCCCAACAGTTGTGGGTTTGACGCACAGTGCCGACGGCATGTTTTTCTTTTCTGAATTGTAATGTGCCGGCGCATGCTGGTTTTCAAAAGTAGTAACAAATCCTCGGACCAATGGACGCCTAAAGTGCATAGGGTTTGCTTATAAATGCTATCGCATTTAAAAGTACTGGATTGCAAATACAAAGTAACTGAGAGTTTACGTACCTCATAGAAAGTAAACTGGGTGTAAAGTAGTATTTACTTTCTAACTAACTGAGAAGTACTTTTAACACAATATTTTATCATACTATCTCGTTTACCTATACAGTGTTTGCTGCCAACAGGTACACGTAGCGCAAACAGATACACGTATCGTCCTTTACACACGAGAGTGTGTAAAGGACGATGTAGCAATTATTTCCTGAAATGACCGTGAATACCGGATATATGGTCATGGGCATCTGGAAGCATTCTTTCAGGGGGAGGGGGGAATCACAGGTATAGGGCTGAAACATACACCTAGACAACAAGGGAGGGGGGGCAATTTAATGTGAACTATGTGTGTCCGAATCCTGTGGTGGAAGTTTATATTAAATGAAGATTGAAATGCGTGGACCTTTTTTCTTTTCCAGATTGAGATGTCGCCATCCCCTGCAGTGGGTGGCAAGTACAAGAAAAAAGAAGATAGAGGACAAGACGTCCACTGTGTCGCTTGTGGAGCATGCCTGACTGGTTGAAAAGCTGCGGTCGGCAAAGCAGAGGGTGGTGAACCTGGAGCAGGAGCTCCAGATGGAGAGGACGCTACCAAGAAGCAGCTGCTGGCACTACTGGGTAAGCGTGGAGGCACTTTCAGTTGCCCACCTCACACACGACACATTATGTGCTCAAACCATCCGAGGGATCAAAAGTAACTTTAATTTTTTTGGTCGCAAACAGAAGCAAGCATATACAACAGGGTGCCCTCAATGTATCAATGAGTTGGTGTCCATAATTCTCTTTTCTTAGGGTGCAAATGGAGCTTTGAGAGTTTGTTTCTTGTTGCTGATGGCGATGACCCCGTTTTGCTTGGCAGCACTGTTGTTTTGACCGAAGAAATATTTTGTTTGCAGTTCGTCAAACAATCATGTCCATACCAAGACACCATGGTCTGTGCGCATAGATGAGGCTTGAAGTGAAAGTTTGTTCTGTCGGTCACAACATTGTAAATATGCACTTTCGGATGAGCCCGGCCAGCGCACGTCCTTTCGTCATTGGGGAGAAAGGAGCTCTTTCTGTTGAGGAGGAGGGAGTGAGGAAGCTGGTCGTAGGCATGACTACGGCACCAACAAGGCTGAACTTTAATCGGGCGGCAGATTGTGCCTAGCGACGCAACTGTGCAACTGGTCAAATGGTGGCCAGACAATCTGCTACAGCATTGGATTTCGTCAGAAAGATTGAGCTTATATCTCGCAAACCGTCGGAAGTGCTAGGTATGAATATTCATTAGCTATTCACCGGCATTTTTTTGTAAATATGCTCTCTGCCGCCCTCTGCCGGCGAATTTGAGCGCATTTCCTTTTTTCTTTTTCTTTTTTGGTTTTGTGTTTCGTCCTTTTTTTGTGTGTTCTGCTCTCACCACTTTTCCAGTCCCGGTGTGTTACGGAAAAACAAATAGGCACACTGCCGATAGCCTTCTGTGGCATGAAGCACTATGAAGCCCTCATGCCATCAGCGGACAAGGAAAGTGCTAAAGTCTGAATAACCAAGCATGTCTGAATTTTTGGCGTCCGAAAAATCTGTCGGCTCCTGTAACCGTTTCTTGTTTCTAAACATTGTTTTATTATGTTGCAGTGGACAAAGTCCCGTCTGGCGGTGTTGAGTCAGCTCCTCCAGCTTGCCCAGAGGCAGTTCCTGCAGCTGGTGCTCCTGCTCCAGTTCGCGTTGTGCGAGCTACCGGCCGCTGATGCTGCTGTTCCAGCAGCGGTTCTTGTAGCAGGCCCACCGGAGGCACCTCCCGAGTGTGTGCCAGTGCTTGCAGAGGTCGATGATGAGGTAAGTTCAGGATTTCATTGAATATTCATTTCAGATATTGGGCAAGTGACTGCATTTTATGGTTTCCACAGCTCCTTGAATGAGGTTATTTGTATGCTTCCTTAAATTGAACCATTGTCCTGCTTGAAAATGCTGATGAATGTAAAGAGTAGAACCGTGCATTGATAAGATATTTCTTTCCAATTAATTGGCGCTTTTCTGAAACGTTTTCTATTTAGTGTCCTCGTTTTATTTCGAGCTTTTTCATAAATCGGGTACCACGAGCCCAGATTAAAATTCTGTTATAATTGGTACCCTTTTTTCTCTCTTCCCCCTTACTCAGAACTCATTTAAAGGACACTTACACCCCCCCCCCCCCCAAAAAAAAAAAGTTTCATTTTTTGCCAGGCGATTTATTGTGTCGAAAGATTACATAATTAATATTTTGCAACAGAGTCACATATATTTTTATGAAAGCCAGAAAGCGCCACTGCTCAGAACCGAAACTGAAACCCGTGCACGGAGGTAGGAGAAGTGGAGAGGAGAGAGTGGGAGTGGGAGAGGTCGCGTGGCTACACCCGACTGAGCTTTTTGTTTTCTCTTCTGTGTCCTTTTTTTTCTGTGTACAGCAGACGACATGCATGGCTGGAACTGTTTGCTATGCGATTCCTTTGCAGTTATGTTTGTTCCACTCTCCGTTCTGCACTTCAAGATGAGTTGTTCTGTACATTGAGAAGTTGGAGATGAGTAGTGAGTGCCCGTGGTGAATTTCCGTGATCAGCTCCGAAAAGAATACCACCAAGATGTTGCGTGAAGAGCTGCCTCGCATGTCCTGCGTCCGAAAAAAGTGTCATTGTGCGGCAGACGTCTGCACAAGTTTCGAAAGATCGAGATTAGGACCAATGGCTGGCTGCATTTCCTGTAGAGCATTTTTATATATTTCTAGGTTCACCTTGGCCACGGTGTCTTGGTGCAAAAGTACAAACTGTCCTACGTAAGGGGAGCCCGGGGAGACTCCATCTTCGTTAAAGAGGCCATGAAGCTGATCTTCGGCAGGGAGGACCTGCATGGGTCGAGTGTGAGGGGTGCCATGACGGCGCTTCAAGGGCGCCGTGGCCAAGAAGGTCCTGACTCCAGTCAAGTTGGCAGCAGTCAGCAGTAAGTGCCCACTTCTCACAGATGTCTCATACTTGGTGAGACATTCAAACCTTATGGCTTCCGAAGTTGCAATCTGCTACGGCAAAATGAATGGGATAAAATATTCCAAGGCTTTCAGAACTTTCAGTGTTATAGGCTGTTGAAGGGTCACAGTTCGACGAGCTCGAGCGTTAGGAACGTAAAGCTCCTAGTGCAAAACCGAAATGAAGAAGCCTTATCTCCTTCTTTGTTTCTAATATATGAAGAAAAATAAGGTGACCTTGTCACGGTCATCTAGGTCGCTTGGCGCTTTCTGATGCATTCACACTATGGACGTTTTACAGCAACATGCTCCGCGTCGCAAATATCTGCTAATACCTGCAAGTTTTAGAGGGGGTTCTATGATATCAGAGGACTGCTCACAGGACCTTCTGCTGGCTTCCCGGCGGAGCTGTGATGCACTTATTTTTTCTTTTGAACGAAAAGCTGGTACTAGCAAAGCTGTGAAACGAGTCTGTTTGTCCACTAGAGCCGCTGGAACCGAACTATGTTTGGCTCTGTCTGAGTACTGCCCATTTTTGCTAAACTACCTTCTCATCGCGGGTATTCCTCCTATCACGTATGAATGGACCATTGAAGGGTCGTGACACGGATATTAAATCTGTTAAATGATTCTTGATGTCAAATCTGTGTTGTTAATTTATATACATGCCCAGAACAACAATTGCGGCTCAAAATCTTTCTTTCGCACAAAAACCGCCTGCCGAGCATTGTGTGTTTAATGTTCCTTTCACTCGTTTCCATGGTGACATTGTTGGGCATGAAATGTGTTCGAGGCTTTAGGCAATCGAAGGCCCATGTTCATAATTGAAAATACATATTTGGATTCATAGAACATACTTTCATTTTAGTTAGCAGGCAGGCGAGCTGGTTAAGGATCGACGTAGTAACCCGGGAGCGTGGGGACAAAAAGGGACAGACAGACATAAAGCTCCGGAGCTTCGTGTCTTTCCGTTCCTTTTTGTCCCCCTGCTTTAGGGTCTATTATTTTTATAGACACAGAAATGCAAGGAACACACTGTTTCAAGCAAACTTCAAGTGCATAGTTCTGGGAAGTCACACTAGGTCTTTTCGATTTGCTTGAACCAGTCGATATTGTTCAAATAGTGTAAGAAGTGATGCATTAGATTCAATCAGAAGTTGCTTGGACGCTGAACTGGCCTGTTCGATTTATTACAGTGCTGCACGAGCTCAGCCTCAGTTCCACAGAATCTTGCGCTGGCTGAAGTCAGTTCAGTGTTCATGCAGTAACAGATGGCACCTCCTCGGTCTTTCGGAAACCAATTACAGGGTCGTTTGTAACGCTGCAGCTTAAGTTCACGCAGCCGCAGCCCGACTTCCGCACTGCTTCTGCACTCCTCCGAACTCGGTCTGAACTGGTTCAAAACTTTCTGGCCGAATCATGCATACCTGCTGTTTTCAGCAGACTGCGTAATCGTAAGAAGTTGCTCTTGGAGTCTGCATGGTATCACAAGATATTAACAAAGCATAAATTGTAGTGGAAACTGCTTGCTTATAAATGCAGGAAGTAAAATATTAAATTTTTGGAGAAACTGTAGATATACATGACTTATTGTTGTATTATTTTCGCCTGCAGATGCCTTCAACGAGTAGATATGGAGGCATCCTCGAGAGGCCTCTCCAGGGAAGAGGAGAGCTCGTGTCAACCTACTGCAGTATGCCAATTTGTTAATATCGTACTGCAGGATATTAACAAGAAGCTTGACTTCTAAGCTTGCTTAGAGGTTAAGCTTCTTGTTGATGTTCTGCAGTATGCCAATTTGCCTTCACTAAATACACATATAACCTGAAATGACCTGGCTCATGCTCACTCTTTGCATGACAAATGCATGCGAATTTTTAAACCTGCAAAGATCCGTACGTCCGTATGCAAACGTTCAACACAATGTTGATTCCTATTACTGCGTCAGAACGGGTAAACCTGTAAAGATATAGGTTTCTCTACCTGAACAGGTGAATCTGTATAAATATTGGTTCCTATATCTGAATGGGTCAACCTGTAAGGTACGGACGGGCTCCTATATCTAAACGGCTCAACCCGTACAGGCACGGTTTCCCTTACCTAAACGGGTCAACCCGTACAGGTACGGGTCCCGTATCTGAACGGGTCAACCCATACAGGTACGGGCTCCTGTATCTGAATGGGTCAACCTGTACAGGTACGGGTTTCCAGTAGCATACGGGAGACCCGTATCACATAACACCGTATGAGATATACGGGTCAACCAGTGTGAATTTTTATACGGTTTTTTTTAGCAGGGTCCCAATGCTAGCGGAGCGGCGCCGGCAACCGTCGAGCGCGTCTTTGCGCACGTTCCCATTGGAACGCCCGCCGTCCAAGATGAAGCGGTGGTCCATGGCCCGCTCCTTCCCGAAGTCGGTGGCAAGATGGCCGGTCCGGCGTCACTTCCAGTCACGTGCCCCGGACTTCACACCACCACACACCCCAGCGTCTGCGCTACCCTCCTCCTTCAAGGCAGGGAGATGAAGGAGTCGGTGTTCCCTGCAACTTCTGTGGTCGACGCGGCGACAACCGCAACGAGTGTCCAGCGTCTGGTGCGGCATGTTTTTTGTGTGGAAAGACGGGCCACTTTGCGGTGGTTTGTCGGAGTCGCCGCCCACCGTCGGCGGCCTTCGTCAGTGAAACGCGGCGAAAGTCGTTCCCCAGCCGTGGCCAGAGCTCCGGCCGTTACTTCGCGGCCCGACCGTTTTCACGGAATGTGTCGTCAAGAGGTAACAATCCTGTGAACATTGTTGGGCCATCCCTGGTGCCGGAGATGCTGCCGAGCGTCCCCGTTGAGTCGGCCGAGCAAGCAGCAGGAGCTGTTTATCGTCGGGATGCCTTCATGGCCGACATCACGCATGTTGATGCAGCTCAGGGAGGAGGAGTTCCACGGCAGTATGTGAGGACGGCGGTTCCCCTGCAGCGACGGCCGTTCACCATCACGTCCTGCCAAAACCGCCAACCGGCCGGATCCAAAGATGCAAGGTCCCGGTCATCTTCTCTTTTTGTACCTTCGGGTGCCAACACGTCTACATCGTCATCGGTCTCGGAAGAGATCACTCCGAAAGTTCCCGCGGACTTTGACCACGATTCGTCGACAGCCGCGATTCTGCGACGCCATCCTGAGAGCCATGGGCTGCATCAACCGCATCTTCTTTAAAACACAAGTCCTGAGAATACAAGTCATAAAATCACTGCACAACTGCTACGCCATGAAAACACAAATGCATCTCAGGTTTTAAGTCCTTTCCTTCCAGATCAGTCCAAGTGCCCAAAGGCTTCGAAGAATTTGAACCTCTCTTTAGTCCAGGTTTGGGTTTGGTCAAGAATTCCACCCATACCAAATACCGTGGAAGCCAATACTGGCAACTCCCGCGGAAAACGGGCGAAAAATGATTGCAGCGCCCCTGACGAGCTCGGAGTCTCCGCTAGCAGACAAATTCTCCAAAATGCATTGGTTTTGCCTATCTCCGTGCGAGGTGACCAACGAAAAAAAATTGCCACGGACATTCGCTGCTTTGAAAGTTAAAAAATGGGTGCCAGCTCATGAGTGAAGGGCATTCTCTTCGCGTGGGAAGATGTTACAGCTTTCTGGGTGCGATTTCGGAGTTCTCCCGAAGAATACATTCTGTCACAACTTATGTAAGCCATGCAAAACACGAATGTATGCCTTCGCGCTGTTTCGTGAAAAAGGGAAATGTACAAACATTTCAGAACATAGCTTCGTTTCAACTTTATTGTTCTTATCAGTCAATTCGTTTTGTCATTGCAATTCCCATTTCTTATGAATATCTTGCTTATAACCGTTTCGTCGAACAGGCGAGCTGGCTAATCCCGTTATGATCGTCTGCGGATGAAGAAGCCGAAGTCAATTTCGAACCACGTACGTTACGGCGATGTCAGTATGCTCCGAAAGAAGTCGTTGTGCATATGCAAATCTGACACGATTATAGATTAACAAAAGCGGAGTTACGAAAAAAGCAGACTTCTCGCGCTTGTAAAGAAAGAAGGGGAGAGCGTCGTAGCCCCGCGAAAAAAGGTGATTTTAGTCACGTTATTTACAGTGCACAAATTCCGATTGTTAGCGCGGGGACGACCAACATCTTCTGCTTCGCTGCTTTTTTACTTCTACGATAAAGGCCGACACCCGTTGAACCGTCTCCACTCTTTCCATTTTTGAGTCTTCTTTCTTTTATATTTTTGAGGCGACGCCACTCTGCCGTGTTATTTCTTCCTCCTGCTTATATGGTACTGTGTATATGTTTTGTTTTCTTTTTGCTCTTGTTTTTTTGTTTTTTTTTTTTTTGCCGTCGTGTAAATTATTGCGTATCCTTGCTTTGTTTGGCTTATTTTTGACTCCCTTTCCTTCGCTTCGGCGCTTACTACCCCCGGTTCGTCTGCGCTAGGCCCGGGCATTTTGAGGGCCGTGTGCAACTTTGCTGCTGTTGTTGTTTTCTTCCACTGTCGTCTGCGATAACCTCCTATTTTCGCCTTCGATTGACTTTCTAATCCAAAATCGTCATACGTGCTTTTTGATATTTATGAAATATATTAAGAAGTGTAAGCTCGTTATACATTTTTATTCGAATTTTATTTGTGTACTCCGGCCGGCACGTCTGCTACGGGTCATCACTTGTTGATCAACCCAGAGCATACTTAGAGATGGCAGGCATGCTATACGTGCAGCCTACCATTGCAAAAACAAGTTTGTGCGATGTGGTGGAAAATCTTTCTTCTCCTTCCTACGTCAACCTACGGACACCTACGTCAATAAGTACTTGAATGCACTTTTAAACTGCTTTGTCAAGCAAGCGAACGAACAACCCGCCAAAGTCACTGGAAAAAGAAATTCGAAAGCAAAAAAAGGTTACTCACTGCTAGCACATACAGAAGATTGCTGCCTGCAAAACATTTCTGCGACTCTTTTTTACCGGGCAGTGTGAGCGGCACTACGTTATTTATTTCCCCTGTTTTGTTTTCAGTCCGTACCTACGCCGCGAAAGCAAATAAAGAAATGTACAACAAGCAGGTGAAAAAAAAGGGACGCTTTCTTCTGTTTTCATTAGTTTCGTCTGTTGCTTCCGCTTTGTTCGTCGTGAACTTAGCACCGGTGGCGACCACCAGCTGGCTATTCGTTTGCTGCTTTCCATTTTTCTTTCGTTTTTTTCTATAAGCGCCGAAACGATCGTCGTCGTTGAAATAGTTTTTTGCTAGCTTCTTTGTTTTATTCGCCGTTGTTCGCTTCTCTTTCCCGTTTCTTTTTATTTTCGTCGCGAGTGGCGACACCATTTTTTTCTGCAAAGTTCGATAAGCGTTTGCACGGTCATTTTTATCCTTACTTTTTGTTTTGTCTTTATGCTCCAGCAGCTCGTGCGCTTGCTCTGGTAATATTAACACGTCGTTCTTGCATGTTTTAATGATTACGACGTAGTTCGAGTAGCTAAACGCCTTTTTTCCGCTTCCCAGACGCGTTTCAAACGCGTGTGGTCCCCTGAGAGGCGATTGAGACCGCTAAATAAACTGCTCTATCTTCGTTTATGCGCGCGTTGTTATTCTATTGTCGTTGCAGTTGCGATCAGTGGATTCCGCTTTGCAAGCGGACGGACCGTAATAAATTGTTTCTGCTGTTAGGGTGACGAAACGGGGCTCGTAAAGCTGGAGGACGTCGCGGAGCCTATACTTTTCCATTGCGTCGACTGCTTCCGTAGACTCCGAGTCCGCTAGAGGCGCCACTGTCGCGTTCGCCGCCGCTCCTATATGTTTTCGGAGGAGTTTCCAGTATTGGCGAAGCTGTATCGTATTTGCCCATACTATCAAGCAGCGTTGCACGTGCCACCGGTACAGTCCAAGCTACGCCGACTTCCGATGACCCTGAGGGATGCTGTCTCAGAAGAGATTATCAGACTGGAAAGAAAAGATGTGATCGAGAGAGTGGATTCCTCCGAGTGGGTTTCACCTATCGTCGTCGTTCGGCGGACTGACGGACGTATGCGGATGTGTGTTGACCTCCGTGCGCCAAATCAAGCGGTGGTCATCAATTCCTTCCCGCTACCCCACATCGATGAACTACTGGGTTCCTTGCGTGGTGGCAGTTGCTTCTCCAAGCTGGACCTGGCGTCCGCTTACCACCAAGTTCGTCTCGACCCGGTGAGTCGTGATCTCACTGCTTTTATCACGCATGAGGGACTGTTCAGATTCAAGCGCGTTTGTTTCGGGTTGGCTTCGGCACCCGTAGCGTTTCAAAACATCATGTCAAAAATCCTGAAGGATTGCAAAGGAGTCCAGTTTTACCTTGATGATATAATAGTCTACGGTGCTACGCAGTCAGAACAGGACGAGAATCTGCGTCAGGTCCTCTCTTGTATCTCCCAAGCCGGGATAAAGCTAAATCGTAAAGGAGTTTTTCGAGTAACAGAACTTTCGTTTCTGGGACACTATCATTCCGCGGAAGGACTAGGTAGATGCAGTCCTGAATTTTGAAACCCCTACCGAACCGAAAGCATTTCTGGGACTTGTTAAATATTACAGTAAATTTATCCCTCATTGCTCAACTGTCGTAGAGCTCATGCCTCGTCTTCTCCGTAAAGGAGTTCGCTTTCACTGGTCCCCGGAAGCCGAGGCCAGTTTCCAATATGTAAAGGCTACCATAAAAAGTGCTCCGATTTTGTCGATAATTGATCCAACACTTCCTATCGTTTTGGCTACGGATGCATCTAACTATGGTCTTGGGGCTGTCTTGCAACAACAGTACGGAAGTCAGCCGCGTCCTGTCGCTTTCGCTTCGCGCTCGTTGACTGATGCCGAGCGGAGGTATTCAGCAGGTGAAAAGGAGGCGCTGGCCTGTTTGTGGGCCTGTGAGAGGTGGCATGTGTATCTGTGGGGTCCGTCCTTTGTGATACGAGCAGACCACCAAGCTCTAGTCGCCCTGCTTTCTAGCAAGGGGTCTGGGATCCGCCCTTTGAGGATCACCCGGTGGACAGCCTGGCTGCTTAATTATAATTTCACTATTGAATATCAGAAGGGATCTGCGAACCTGGTTGCCGATGCTTTTTCACGGCTACCCGTTAACGACACAGAGAATGGTATGGAATTTACCGAGGAGGTCGTTTCTCTTATCACAGTCCCCATGTCCAAACTCGCATTTTAACAGGCTACGGCTAATGACACTATCCTTCCATCTGTAATCCGGTAGACTACCACGTCCTGGCCGGAGGGTAATGACATCCACACCGACTTGCGACCGTTCTTTCAAGTGCGTGAGCAACTTTCACTGTATGAAGATATCTTGTATCGTGGAGAAAGGCTCGTGCCACCATCAACACTCCGTGACCACATCATCCATCTCGCACACTAGACACGCCAAGGAATATCACGAACAACTATTGGTGGCCCCGCATGAACCAGGAGATCAAAACAAAAGTGGAAAATTGTACGGTGTGCCATTCGACTGATAAACCTGTAAAGGCCGCACCCGCTCCGTTGCAGCCCACAAAGTTCCCCGACCAGCCGTGGGAAAACATTTGCTGTCGACATCGTAGGCCCTATCGACAGGGCGCCACAGAGTCAACGGTTTTTCATCGTCTTGATAGATTATCATTCGAAGTGGCCTGAGGTGCAGTCTGCCGCGGCAGTAACGTCTTCAACTTTCATTTCCTTTTTGAGAAATGTGTTTGCTCATGGAGGACTTGCCTGTGAGCTTGCTACAGACAACGGGGTACAGTTTATGTCCAAAGAATTTCAAGACTTCCTTCGTGAAAATGGCATCAAACATTTGAAAACGTCCTTGTATCATCCACAACGTAACGGTCAGGTGGAGAGATTTAACCGTGTTCTCAAGACGTGCCTTCAGGCAGCTATAGTTCAAGGCCGTCCTTATATGGACGCTCTTCGAGACCATCTCGAAGCGAACCGCCGTACGGTACATCCTGCGACGGGGTTTGCCCCTTCACTTTTATTGCATGGCCGGATCCACCGGTCTAAACTAAACCTCCAAGGGATACCTACAAGGCAGGTTCCTGATTTCGTTTTACAACAACGTGCTCTTCTTCCCGAGAGGGTTCAAAGTTATCAACAAAACATGAAGTCATATTGGGATCACCGGAAGGCTGCCAAGCGGCCACAGTTTTCCGCCGGTCAAGCCGTGCGCGTGTT